GCGATCATTCTATAGGTTTCGAGGAATAAGTCTGAAGTCGAGAGCTGTTGAACGAAAAGTTACAAAGTCATAGACAATTAGCAGATTAAGTCTTGATAGAGTGAAAGATTTTGAGTCTAAGTTAAAGTTCAATGTCCTTTGCTTCATACATAATAGATTTTTTACACTTTGGATAGTGTACAAAATCTCGACGTTTTCCAATTGGTTTTTTCGCTAAAATCCGCTGTCACTCGAAACTTTACTTGCTTTTATTTTGCATGTGATTTTTTAATTAATCTGTAATTTTAGTAGAATTAATTAGATAGAGATACACTTAATTAAATCTTCTCTAGATAAAAACTTAAATTTTTCACAATATATTCCATTGCACAAGTCAGAATGTCTTCACAAAAAACAAAAAAACACGACTTTGATTGACCCCTTCTTATTAAGTGCCGGATAAAATTGTAAATTAAAATTAAAAATTCTCAAATTACTTTAATAAAATTCTTCACCAAACAATTTACTTATTTTGAATTCTTTTCATCAAACTCGCTTTCTTAAAGGGATTTTTAATGAACAACTTTTGATACAAGGAATCTCCATACACCACCTTGATTTCTCAATAATTCATATGATCAAGAAACGAAGAGATATTAATTTAGTTTAAGAGTAAAGGTGATTTTTGTGTATGATAGATAATTTTAATTTGAACAATCATGCTAAAAGACAAGGATCAATGGTAGATTAATGTGACAAATTACTTGTACCTTTAATTTTTACCCTTTTATGCTTTGTTCAGTACGAAGAAAAAAAATTGAATCAAAAGGAAGAGAAGAATAAATGAACGAAGCATTCTTAAAAAAATCCAATTCTAACCCACATGACAATGGATCCCCCGGCATTTATTCTGCAACTAGCTTGAGAGTGATATCTTATTTTCTCCCTTATTTTTATGTTTATATACATAGAATACGAGTGGATATCATTTTGGTTCAATGAAATCTTTTGCATCAGGGGTTCGAGTCTAAGACAAGACACAGTGTAAAAGGCAAGACAGAGTGTGTAGGTGAATTATTTTATTTTTGAAGAACAAAAATTCATACACAAATCTTTGATCAACAATATTTATTTATTTTATTTGGCTGAATAAAGCATGGCAATAGGAACAAATGCTGCAGTATAAAACTAGTACCATCCAAAATATACATAGCAATAGGAGCGGATCATTATGAGTAATAATAATTAGTTATTTAATTTAATATTAAATAGTAAATTTAATTTTGTCATTTCACAATATCACTTTTGTTAGTGTTGAAAGTTATTTGATTGTGTTGAGATTATACAATGAGAGTTTTATTATTTTAATCCTAAAAAGAAATTAGTTGCAAATCTATATAAGTAGATTTATTTATTATGGTATACAAGTTTCAACAGTTTAGTCATTCTAATAGACATTTTTTTTTTTTTAGAAGAAAATGATTCTTGCATTGATTACTTACAGTAAATTGCTAGACCTACTGTTTTTAATTGATCATTTATACAATAAATAAGAAAGTGAGATTCTTCGCTTACTTTGTATTTAGTATAAATAATGAATTAAAAATTATTCGGTTTGTTAATCACTATAAGTGATAAAATACTCATGTCTAATGTTCAACTTAATCCAATTCCAACTTAACTTAATTTTTGATGTATTTTTCTCAAATTTAAATATAAATTAAAGTTGATTATAGATACATTTCAGCGTGTTGAGTCTCAACTCAAAAATCATTCAATTAAACCCCAATAATTGACTCATAACAACATAATTAAAGAACTATTACTAAGTTGGGTCCTTGTTACTTTGAAGTGTCAGTTAATATATTAATATTCACTATTTTGTTGGCCATGCTATTTATCATTTTAATTTGAGCACATTAAGCTATATATATATATATATATTTCACTACATGATAAAAGGGGCATAATCTGGTTCACCTCCGAACTCATCACAAATAAGAACAGAATTGGTATAATATATTTTCTAATGGGACGGCATAGCCATCCCAATAAAACAATGTTTGCAATGATTATTGCCTGACAGCTCATGGACAGATCTCTGCTATCCTTCTACTTCATTTTTGCAACTGCAAGCTAGTGTAGTCTGTTGAATATTAATTATTTATTTTTTATGTGTAATATGACTTTTTTATTTTTATTTTTGTTCTGTGAATGCCAACATCCTGTTGGGATTTATATGCCCTAACATAATAAATTCCTATCTGGATTATAGTGACATATGTTCCTAACATATCTAAAATATTTATAATTTATATAATTGGTGAATTCAATATATTATGTTTCGATTCACTATGAAATTGATAGTGTCCATGTAATTACAAGAAATATTTATATATATGTATGTGATGGCAATCAATGCATGATATATAAATAGTAATTATAAATTGTTCATAGTCGGTAATTATGGATGGACTCATAATTAATTAAGACTTGAACTGGATCCGCGTTAGGTTGAGATATATTGCGAGAGCCATCGTATGCAATTACTCCCTATCACCGTCATGGCATTTGACTCTTAAGCATGAGAAGAGTATAGACTCTTTTATTAATTAATAATTACTTTGATTTGTTCGGCGGATTCTTCGGGATCCTTAGACCGACATTTTGGGTAGTTATGTAATTAATAGTTAGAAGGTTATATTTTCAATATTTGCATCATTGCTACTTGTATTTATTTTGTATTGATTATGATTGATCACAAAGTAAATTCGAAGGCCTTCGTGTGTTTTTAGACAAAATGATTTATTATATATTTATTTATTTAAATTATTATTTTTGTCAAACAAATGTTTTATTGTGATCGAGTCAGAAATAATCAGAGGTACCAAAATAGATATATTAATTAAGTAGTCGGATTGATGGCTTTATTTATCCGATAACTAATTATGCATAGAGGGGTCAAAGTGCAATATTGACTTAGAGGTTATTTATTATTTAATTGGAGTTCAATTAATTTCTTTTAGTGGAGTAGAAATTAATTTATGAATTAATTAAATTGGGTCCATGGACCGGGCCAATTATTAATTCATTGTAGCCAATAAAATAATAGGCCCAATGGATTCTCACTCATAGCCCAACTTGATATTGGAATCATATTAGATTTGAGACATATGAATTAGAGATGGAGAAGGATTTGTTGTTTCCTTTTCTTTATTTTTATGTTGCCTATAAATATACATGGTCTATGTATATTTTAGAGGGTGATTTTTAATGAGAAGGAAAAAGGAATTTATTTTCTCTCTCTAGAAAATTAGGGTTTATGTTCTCATCTAATGGAGGCACCCACAAGCCTAGTTTTCCAAGGTCATTCATGAAAGCTTATGAGTGATTCCTAAAGGCAAAACAATTAACAAGAAGATAGAGATCCAAGAAGAAGGCATCTTGTTAAGGGATCTACAATAAGTGAGAACATTTACTTTAAAGGAAAGTTTTAAAGGTTTACTCAGACCTTTGATGTAAGTATTCAATCTGTTAATCGAATGATACATCATATTTTTATTTTTTGCGTAAAACTTGTCTCTATGTGATGAATCAAGATCTATGAATCAAAATCCCTCGAAAAGTTTTTAAAACTTGCACGTTTCCCAACACATCCAACTTTGAATCACCGCTAGAGCAGTGATACGATGACCACCTGAAATAACAATATCACCACCCTGATATTGGACAATATTGAACTTGCATTATTTCACACACACACACATATATATATATATATATATATATATATATATATATATATATATCTCGGACAATACAAACTACACTACTTTCAAACATTTTCTTGTCTTATGTATCCCCCTGGGGGGAGGGGGGGTGGGGTGGGGGAACGTTTTCTTGTCAAAAAAAAAAAAAAAATGGTTTTCTGCATTTTTGAAAACATATAATAAATCAATCCAAGTCCAGCCACATGTGACTGAGGTCCCAATCATATATATATATATATATATATATGTATGATTTTGCTAATATGTCCATATCCAATGTGATTAATGGCCAGTAAGCCCAAAAAATTCACAGGTCACCATGTGAACTCATAGTACATGAGCAATTATTTTGGCTGAGTGTTCATTGGTGGAGGAGGATATTAATTGCTCGACTCTCTGCAAGTGAGGTGATAGAGTTATTTTTTACCATATTTTTATCTTTACATATATATTATACCCAAATTTTCATTGGTGGGAATATAGCTAAGTCCTCTACAGGTGATAGAAGACTTATTTTCTAACTTAATTTATTTCATAAACTGCTTACCATATCATAAACTGCTTGATTTCCAACAAATTATCATAAACGTGCGTGCTATTGGTGGGGGCATGAAAGTTTGAGTCAGAAAAGGTTGAAATATATTTTTATTTTTTAAAATTTGATTGTCATAAAATATTTTTTAAAAAATATATTTTTATTTTTTAAAATTTGATTGTTATAAAATATTTATAAAAAAATATATATTAAAATTTAACAAAAATAATTTATGTATCAATTCGACCTCAACTTCAACCTAGACCTTTACCAAATAAATTATATATATATATATATATATATATATATATATATTACCTAAAAAATAAAAATCTTTTCTGAAAATTAATTCTTTGCATTTTAGTAGCATTTCATAGTATTTTTGTCATGAAATGTTAAAATATAAAATTATTCAAGTTTTTGAATATAAGAAAAATGGTAACTTCGTTATTTTTAAAATTTTAATTAAAGATAAAGGATGTGGTTAACAGGCGCTAAATTTCAAAAGTGACCAAAGTAAAAAACACTCAAACGTGCTCACGGTGTATAATTTAAATCCACTCAAGACCGGATGGTGTGAACGTGCACGGAGCGTGGATTGGGAACTACTGGAAAAAATTGAAAGACGACACGATTGCTCGTCTTTGGTGGGTGGCATGATTGTCATCCAGTGTAGTGACAAATTGAAAGTTTTAATTGAAAGAGATAAAGGAGAGAGAGAGGCCAATAATTGAAAGCACTTTAGAAAAAGTTAAAAAGAGAGAGAGAAAGGAGAGGGGCAATTAATGATAGAAAGCACTTTAAAAAAAGTAGTCCCTAGATGCAATCTTCCTTCACAGCATATTCGATATTCATCTGCTGCGTTGAGTTTTCTGTGTGTTTGTGATCCATCTCCGGTTTAAAACCAGACTTGGTTGCATCTCTGTTTCTACAAATTTATAAGCTTCGCTTCTTAGAGGTACGTCACTTATAACCATCCTTCCCGTTTAGTTTCTTAATTACTACTATTAGTTGTGTATAGCTTTTATTTGTACTTATGCTATTTGTTTTATAATAGACAAGCACAGCCTGATTTCATCTTCATTTTCCATAGCATATTCGATCTTCATCTGCTGCGTTGAGTTTTGTGGTGTAATTGGGACACAGTAGTAGCTAGATTTCATATTCGATCTGCTGCGTTGAGTTTTGTGTGTGTTTGTGATCCATCTCCGGTTGCATGCATCTCTGTTTCTACAAATTTATAAGCTTCTCTTCTTAGAGGTACGTCACTAACTATACCTTTTAGTTTTTTCACTACTATTAGTTGGATATAGCTTTGATCTGTACTTCTGGTATTTGTTTTATAATAGACAAGCACAGCCTGATTTCATCATCATTTTCCATACCATATTCCATCTTCATCTGCTACGTTGTGTGTTTAAAACCAGACTTGGTTGTATCTCTGTTTCTACAAATTTATAAGCTTCGCTTCTTAGAGGTACGTCACTAACTATCCTTCCCTTTTAGTTTCTTACTAATTACTACTATTAGTTGTATATAGCTTTTGTCTCTACTTCTGTTGATGCTATTTCTTTTATAATATTGATTGGAAACTTCTTTCTCAAAGATAACGGGAGGAGTTTGATCCAGTCGCAATCTTATTTTGGAGAAAAATATAAACATAAAACACAAATGATTGTCAATCAAATCCTTCGTATGTGTGTGTGTGTGTGTGTGTGTGTGTTTGTATATATATATATATCAAATTAAAGCAAGAAAGGATGAATTTCATTTGGATCAAAAAGTCGAGACCAAATACATTCCATAGCAGTATCAAAAACAACATCCTCCCCGAGGGTGCAGTATCAGACGGGGGGGTGTTTCTGTGGTAACAAAAAAGTAACAAACGACGCAGTATTTGATAAGTTTTTAATAATGGACTATGAAGAATGATAAAGTACATTAGTACTAATTGATTGGTTATATAAAAAACGAATATAGACACTTTATTTTATGTTTTGATATTTACAAGATATTAGAAATACATAACTGATTCTGAAAAATGAATACCTAGTGATGAATGTCAGAATTGGAAGTGTTGATAAATGAAATTTTGATGCTGATGTAATGAATATATGTATATGTATATATATAGAAACAGTAATATTAAGTGAGAAATTATAAAAGGAAGAAAACTTTCAAAGAAGAGAGGGGGAGAGAGACAGAGAGAGTTGATATTTTATTTTTCACACAGCAGTAGATACATACATGGCCTTTTTATAGGCTAACAATGAGACTTCTCATGTAAGCCACAAGGGTGGCCTTATTCTACACGCAAAAGGTGTCCTCATGGATGACATAATCCATTGTGGACTCTATACAAATATATATATATAGATAACACTCCCTTTTGGGGTTCACAATATTACACTAAGAATATGTCTCGTTAAAACCTTACTAAGGAAACCCAGTGGGACAAAATCTTAGCAAAGGAAAAAAAGTACAGTATTCTTGTGTATCTAAAAATGGCATTATATAGATTAAAACTGTCTCATTAAAACCTTGCCAGGAAAACACAGTGGGACAAAACTTGAACAAAGGAAAAAGAGTACAGTATGTCAATACCATTTCGATCAATTGCTCCCCCTCATTAGATCAACCTTGAAGATCCTTTAGTTGACGCATTCCAATGTTGTGTACCAGCTTCTTGAATATTGTAGTTAGAAGCGTTTTAGTGAATAGATCTGCTAGATTTTCACATGAACGTATCTTCTGAATATTAATATTACCCCTTTTCTGGAGTTCATGTGCATTAAAGAATTTTGGTGAAATGTGTTTGGTCCTGTCACTTTTAATATACCCTTCTTTCATCTGTGCAATGCATGCTGCATTATCTTCATATAATACTTTTGGGCTATCTTTTATTGATAAGAGACCACATGTTGTTTGAATATGTTGGATCATTGATCTCAACCAAATGCATTCCCTGGTTGCCTCATGAATTGCGAGTATCTCAGAATGATTTGAAGAAGTTGTAATCATTGTCTGTTTCATAGATCGCCATGATATAGCAGTGCCGCCACAGGTAAACACATATCCTGTTTGTGAATAAGCTTTATGTGGGTCAGAGAGATCGCCAGCATCTGCATATCCAACTAATTGAGAACTTGATACTTTTGAATAAAACAATCTCATATCAGTTGTGCCACAAACATATCGCAATATGTGTTTGATTCCATTCCAATGTCTGCGGGTTGGTGCAGAACTATATCTTGCTAATAAATTGACTGGAAAAATTATGTCAGGTCTTGTGCAATTTGCAAGATATAAAAGAGCACCAATCGCACTAAGATAGGACACTTTAGGACCAAAGAGTTCTTTATTATCCTCTTGAGGACAAAAAGAATTTTCTTGATGTCAAGTGATCGGACAACCATTAGAGAGCTCATGGGATAGGCTTTATCCATATGAAAGCGTTTCAGAATCTTTTTGGTATATATTGATTGATGGATGAGAATACCGCTCGAAAAATGTTTAATTTGCAGCCTAAGGCAGAATTTTGTCTTTCTGAGATCTTTCATTTCGAATTCTTTCTTTAAATAAGTTGCCGTCTTTTCGATCTCGTCCAATGTTCTCACAAGATTTAGATCATCAACATATACTACAACAATAACAAAAAACCAAATTCTGATTTGTTAATAAAAATGCATAGACATATATGATTGTTTACATACCCTTCTTTGAGTAAGTAATCGCTAAGGCGATTGTACCACATTCGTTCAGATTGCTTCAATCCATATAAGGATCGCTGTAATTTGATCAAATACATATTACGTGGTTTGGTTTCAGGCATTTTAAATCTTTTTGGGATTTTCATATAAATATCACTATCTAGTGATCCATATAAATATGCTGTAACCACGTCCATTAGATGCATATGCAATCTTTCTGTGACTGCCAAATGTATTATGAATCTAAATGTGGATGCATCTATCACAGGGGAGTATGCTTCCTCATAATCAATACCAGGTCTCTGTGAGAAACCTTGAGCTACCAGTCGGGCTTTATATCTCACAATTTCATTTTTCTCATTACGCTTTCGTACAAGCACCTATTTGTACCTAACAGGATTAACACCCTCAAGTATTTGAACTACTAGTCCAAATACTTCACGTTTAGCTAATGAATTTAGCTCAACTTGTATCGCTTCTTTCCATTTTGGCCAATCATTTCTTCGTCGACATTCTTCGACGTTTTAAGATTTCGGATCCTCATTATCAATATCAAGAGCAACGACATATGAGAATATGTTGTCGACAACAATTTCAATTCTATTCCATCTCATTTCATAATTTAGTGAGATCTCATCATTTTCAGGTACATTTGTCTCATCAAGAGGGCATGTGCCTCATCAAGGGCCACATCATCATCTGTTGCCTTTGCCTCATCAATATTTATTATTTCATCATTTTTAGGTACTTGAGACTCATCAAGAGCCTCTGCCTTATTAAAGGCTATTATCTCGGATTGATCAATAATATTTGTTGCTCCTTTTATGGCCTCTTCAGGAGTGCCAGTTTTTTTTTGTGATTTCCTCTTACGAGGAGTAGTAACTTTTGCACCGACTGATCTACCACGCTTCAGGCGTGTTTTAAATGTATTTCCAGCATTACTAACAGAAGATCCCTCAGGGACAACAATTCATGCTGGAATATTTGCAGCTGGTATATGTGATTTTGTTACTTTCTTTGTATCAGTAAATGCTTCATGTAGTTGATTTGCAAAATTTTGCAAGTGAATGATCCTCTGAACTTCTCGTTCACATTGATTTGTGCGAAAATCAAAATGAGACAATTTCAGGGCATTCCAAGTAATATCACGTTGCTGCTGTGCCTTTTCTCCCCCTAATGGTGGGAAAACAGTCTCATTAAAATAACAGTCAGCAAATCGTGCTTTAAAGACATTACCTGTCAGGGGTTCAAGATATCTAATAATAGATGGAGAATCAAAACCAATATAAATTCCAAATCTACGTTGAAGACCCATTTTAGTGCGTTGGGGTGGTGCAATTGGCACATATACAGCACAACCAAAAACTCGTATGTGAGATATATTTGGTTGTTAACCAAAAACAAGTTGCAATGGTGAGTACTTATGATAAGCAATTGGTCGTATATAAACTAATGATGCAGCATGTAATATGGCATGACCCCAGGCAGAAACATGTAATTTTGTTAGCATAAGTAAAGGACGACCAATTAACTGAAATCTTTTAATAAAAGATTCAGCCATACCATTTTGAATATGAGTGTGTGTAACGAGATGTTCAACATTAATTCCAATTGACATGCAAAAATTATCAAAAGCTTGAAAAGAAAATTCAGCGGCATTATCAAGACGGATTGTCTTAATTGGGTAATTAGGAAAGTATGCTCGTAATTTGTTGATTTGAGCAAAAAGTCTAGCAAATGCAACATTACGAGTAGAAAGTAAACAAACATGTGACCATCATGTTGAGACATCAATTAAGACCATAAAATAGCGAAATGGTCCACAAGGTGGATGAATTGGCCCACATATAGCCCCGTGAATTCGTTGCAAAAATAGGGGAGACTCAACAATGACTTTTGAAGGGGATGGTCTGATAATCAACTTACCTTGTGAGCAGGCGGTGCATAGATGATTATTTGGTAAGATGAGCTTTTGATCTTTTAGTGGGTGTCTATGTGAATTTTCAATAATTCGACACATCATTGTACTTCCCGGGTGACCAAGTCAATCATACCAAAGCATAAAAAGTTTTGAGTCACAGGATTTTTTATGTCACAACATTTGACTCAATTGTTCTAATTGTTGTATAGTATAACCCAGAAGAGAAAACATGGAGTTTTTTTAATATTAGCTTCTTGCCTGAGGTAATGGAAGTAATGTAGAGATATTCTACATTTCTTTCATTTGTAGTCTCAATATGTGATACCCCTCGGATCCGAAATACGGGTTGATCAGGCCCAGGCCCAAACCCGAGGGAATATCAAACAATTAAGTATTTTAAAACGAACACAGATGACAAAAAAAATAATAAAGATAGAAAAAACTGGAAGAAATAATAATAATAAAATCCTCCATGAGTAACTGAAAATTGAAACTCCAATCCTCCAAAACTTTAAGGTTACAACTTGGGAATCCACTGATGGACCCCTAACCAAAAGTTCAACTGAAACTGAAAACTGAAAATAGATAGTACTAGAAGCATCGAGGGAAGTCCTACGTAATCCAATGAAAGTGAGACTGTCCTCGACAAGCACGATCAAGCTCTAAGGCTGGAACTGTCCTGTACCTGAAAAGAATAATAAAGGAGTGGGTCAGATCCACGAGCAAGTTCTAATCTAACTGCAATCCATACAGTGACCCGATACGTAGATACACCGTAGACACCTCACAATATCTATCTAGTCCATACGTATAAATATATCCACACTAAGGGACATTCACTAGTCT